TTCCTCTTCTTACCAATCTTGGTATCTCCTTTCGACATCCTTGCCCTCATACACACCAACAAAATGGAAAAGCTGAGAGGAAGCATCTTCATATAGTGGAAATGGGTCTGTCCCTCCTTGCTCAAGCCAAAATACCCCTAAAATACTGGTTTGATGCCTTTAGCACTGCAGTATACACCATCAACAGATTGCCTACCCCTTCTCTTTCAAATAAGTCTCCTTATTACATGTTGTTTCACACCTTTCCTGATCTCAAATTTCTGAAGACTTTTGGATGTGCTTGTTTTCCCTACCTTAGACCATATAACTCCAACAAGTTCATGTTTAATTAGGACATCCAAATATCTGTTCTTGGGGTACATCAATCAACACAAAGACTACAAGTGCTTAAGCTCTGAGGGTAGGCTATATATAGCCATCACTGTCTCCTTTAATGAGAATGATTTTCCTTACTCCTCTTTGTTTTCTCCTTCAGTTTCTTCTTCTTCTCGCAATTCCTTTTCTGCTCCTTCTTCCTTTCCCTTTCCTCTTCCTTCTTCTGTTCAATCTCCTGAACCTCCTTCCTCATCTGGTTCCCCTTCATCTACTCTTCCAGCTATTCCTCTTGTTGTTAAACTTCATATTTCTCCAAATGCTACTTCTCATTCTTCTTCTTCCCTTTCTTCTCCACCTCAGCTATCATCATCTAATCCTCTTCATGCTCCTCCAAATTCTCATCAAATGGTTACTCGATCTAAAGCTGGCATATTCAAGCCAAAATCCTTTTCTGCCAACCTCACCTCTCTACCTATTTTGGAACCTACTTCTATTTCTGAGGCCTTGTCTAAACCAGAATGGTTTGCTACTATGAAGGCAGAGTTTCAGGCTCTGATTGCTAACAACACTTGGGCATTGGTGGACCCTACTCCTGACATGAAGATTATCTCCAATAAATGGGTGTTCAGAACAAAGTACAAACTTGATGGCTCCATTGACAAATTTAAGGCCAGGTTGGTGGCTAGGGGTTTTCAACAAACTGCAGGTGTGGATTTCCTTGAAACCTTTAGTCCTGTGGTCAAAGCCTCCACTATAAGACTTATTTTTACTCTTGCTGCCACACATTCTTGGGCTATTCAACAAATTGACATTAATAATGCCTTTTTAAATGGAGACTTGACTGAAACTGTTTTCATGACACAACCAGAAGGTTTTTTGGACTCTCAGCATCCACATGCTGTTTGCAAACTTACCAAGTCCTTATATGGTCTTAAGCAGGCTCCTCGGGCTTGGTTTACTAAGATAAAGAACTTCTTACTTTCTCTGGATTTTAAAGAATCTGTCTCTGATTCCTCTCTCTTTTATCAAAGATCAAATGGTACATTGTTGTTGGTCTTGATATATGTGGATGACATCCTCATAACTGGTGATAGCTCTCAGTCTGTTCTTCAACTTATTGCTACTCTTGGCAAACAGTTTGCTCTAAAAACTATGGGAGAAGTTAACCATTTTCTTGGTTTTGAGGCTCTTAGGACTTCAAATGGCTTTCTTTTAAACCAAGCTAAGTATGCTCTAGATCTTTTGGTCAAGACAGGCATGGTACACAGTAAACCTGTTTCCACTCCTCTCTCTCCCTCTCACAAGCTGCATCTTCAAGACAGTGCCCCTTTTTCTAACCCTACTTTGTTTAGGAGTGTCATTGGTGCTCTTCAATACTTAACTATGACTAGACCGGATATTTCCTTTGGGGTCAACACAAACTCAGTCAATTTCTGCATGCTCCTACTCACAATCACTGGCTGGCTTGTAAACATCTGCTTAGGTACATCAAAGGTACTCTTTCTGTTGGCCTTGTTTTCCAGCCAGTCCAAAGGTTTACACTTGAAGTTTACTCAGATGCCGATTGGGCCGGTTGTGTCGATGATAGGCGCTCCACTGGTGGCCATTTCATTTTCTTAGGTTCAAATCTCCTGAGTTGGAGTTCTAAAAAGCAGAATGTTGTTTCACGCAGTAGTGCGGAGTCTGAGTACCGAAGCCTCGCCACTGCCACTACTGATTTGCTTTGGATGAGGTCTTTATTTCAGGAGCTTGGTCTTTTTCTTGAGTCACCATCTATTTTATGGTGTGATAATGACAGTGCCGCTGCTCTTGCGTCTAATCCTGTGCTTCATGCTCGTACCAAGCATATCGAAATTGATGTTCATTTTGTTCGAGAAAAAGTGGCTGCTAAAGATGTGGAGGTGCGCTATGTTCCTTCTGCCTCACAGCTTGCAGACTTGCTTACCAAACCACTTTCCCCTGGTCGGTTTCATCTATTGAATTCTCGGCTTCCTCTGCGCGCCAAGTGCCTTGCTCAAGATGGCTCGATTTCTAAGGGGGTGTATTGAATAATAAATACACAGTCATTAGTTTAGTTAGTTAACATGAAAAATAAGTTTGTTCATGCAGTTAGCAGTAACCTTAATTAGCAAGGTAGTTAGTGTGCTGCGAGCATTGCGTGTATAAATACACTCTCTGGTTCATCATTTCTCAATAATGAAGTACGTGAGATTGTTTTCTCTTCTCTGTTCCTCCATGGCTTTCTTAAGCTTCAACAATGCAAGTAACTTTGCGACATGCAATCCGATACCCTTACCGGATAGTCCCATAGATAATAGTAATACCGGAGCTAGTAATTTTACATTCACGACTACTGGGAACCATTACTTCATATGCGGAAAGCATTGCCAGAATGGAATGGATATCACTATCACAGCCAACTGAGGATATCAGCCAACGATGCTATTGCTTTTAAGACATATTCATGTATTATTATGAAGAAGCCACGCACTTCAATTAATTATTACTACTATATATATATATATATATATATGTCTACTATCTTCAATCTTTTCTTATTCCACGCACACTTAACTCGATTACCAGTCTATCCAATAATCGGTCAATAAAATTATATCAATAAAAAAATGCTTCTTCTTCTTCTTCTTCTTCTTCTTAACAAATATTTTGATGCTTACGGGCTCAGAAAAGTTCAACTGAAAGGTTCATGTTTACTTGCTTTGAATTTATCGACCATTAGCTTATATCCAAAACAGGTTGCTTTCATGTTTTTTCAACACACTAATTGCTATTGAAAAATCTACCGTTGATTATATCTAAATAAATAGTAAAATATTTACAATAAATACTTTAAAATATATAAAAGTAAAATAAAAGTAGCATTTATTAAAAATTTCGAAAAACCTTTTTTTAATATACAATCAATTGTAGAGGAATTGAGCTTATATCATTATTTTTATCCCAACTACTAAGATCCCATTGTTATATATTTTCAAAGCAAGAGACTACCAAGCGAGTTATTAGGGCTCGTAACTTGCTTTTGTTATTTGGGCTTGCGTGCCTTATTTTGACAACTATCTTTGGGTATTTTTGCTTTGAAAACTGCGTTATCTTTTTGCGTTTTAATTTTGTGGACAACTCGTGTGTAGGCGCCGGTTCGGCTTATGACATTTGTGTTTGAATATTTTAAATGAAGTGTTTGTTCTCCTCCATAAATGTCGAGCTATGTTTTTTATGTTTTCGAATGAATGCTTGTGTTGGTTGTTTGATTTTGATTTTGATTTTTTATGTCGATTTTGAATGCTGAGGTCAGATCGCGTGCGACACAAATTGCAGATAGAATATCGACCGAGGTAATTTTCGTTAGTTATATACTATACTAGTTAAGTGTTCACATATTTGTGTGGTTGAGTTAGCTGTTAAGTGAAATGTTGAAGCAAATGCTCGTGTATGATTCTTATTAATAGAAATATTCTAAAAAAAAAGTAATGGAAATGATCATTATCTTCGTATAGCTTCTGCATTTAAAAGAGTGAATAGTTTCATGTTTTCACTTTTATTCTCTATTACTGTTTTCCTTAAACAAGAATATTGGAGCAGTGGAGGCTTTGTAGTTTGATTTAAGATGCATATGGAAAGTGTTTATCATTTAATATTAAGTCTATGTTTGGATTGAGGGATTTGAACCTCATTGAATTCGAATCATTTGAAATGTAAATTTGCTTTAAAACTCTTTGAATGTATTTGTGGAAAGAATTATAAATTCATTGTCTAACTTGCATTGATGGTGTTGGCTTGGTGTTGTGATGAATATAAATGAAGATTTATACTCGCAGATAGTGTGATCGTCAAGGTGAGATAAATAGTAGATTTGAAAGTACTAGGTTTGATGAGTCATTATTTTAAAATAATGACTAAAGTCGATTTGACTTGATTGAAATTCTCCAACTTTTGTTAGCATTCGAACATGTATAGAGATTTAAACTTGTAAATTTGAACTCCCCAATGAATCTCTCAATCCAGAGGCAGCCTAAAATATTTTTGAACTTTAAGGAGGCAATCAAGTCAATCATTTTGAATTATTGCAGTGGTAACATTTCCTCCGTAATGAATGAACTATATATCGAATCAAATTATTTAACGAATATTATCTAAATTCGAAAATTTTCACTTTAGAGCTATAAATCTTGGAAATTTTCACTACGAGTCTGTAGCTCAATGGAGAAATTGAAAATTACAACCTTTCATCGTGGNAACTGAAATAATTATTTCCCTTTCATTTTTGTTTTGTTTATCTAATTAATGCATAAAAAAAAAGATAGGCAACCCTTCCAAGTTCCAACTCATCAAACTTGAGCTAATGAGCCTCTTTGAACCCACATGATCATCTAATTATTCTCAGCATGCGCGTTTAGAGCATCTCTATCATGGAGATGCGGACTCTTTTTTTCTTTTTTTCTTTTCCTTCTTTTTAGTTGTCGGTTTGATTTTCAATTACATCACATGTTGTATACCTGAAAGATATAAAGTTACAGAAAAATGATACATTACCAACTTAGTGTAGAACTAGGTTTACAACACAAGTGAAACTTAGTTGTATATTAAGTTGACAATGTAACATTATTCAAAGTTGCATTATATAATGGATAAGAAAAGTAATACAAACTTCCAGAATAATTTTTTTTCAATGGTCAAACCCATGAAACTCATTACCAACTGACACTAAGGACTTTTAAAATTATGATACACTTAATTAACTAAATTATAAATATAATTTAAAAGATAATAACTTTTGTATTGCTATTGTTTTTGATATATTAATTTAATTATTTCTTGACTAACTTCAATTTGACGTAAATAACGCATATATAAAATAAATAAGTAGTTATATTTATTGTTATTATAAAAATTTAATTATCTTGAAATATTATTGATAATTAATAAAATTATATATCAATTAAAAATTTATCTTTAATGTCAGTAGATATAAATTAGAAAAATTAGCACTATATAAATGAAAAAATTTTCAAGCCTATGTATCGACTTCTAGTATTTCATAATCCTATATGTCAATTTTGGAGTTTTGTTTATATAGATCTGGACTTCTACTTATATATAGTAGGCCTTGAAAAATTATAAAACACTTGGTTAACTTAAATTATAAATACATTTTGAAAGCTAAGTTTTTTGTATTTGGTATCAGTTTTCATATATAATATATAAAACCAATCATCTCTTGAAGTACTAGTTTCAATTTAAAATTCATATTGCGTATATAAAATAAATAAATACTTTATGTATTTTATTATAAAAATTAAATTTATTATTAATACTGATTGAAAATTAATAAATTGTATAAATTAGAAAATATCTATCGTCATTAGATATCAATTAAAAAATTAGTATAATATGTGATTGGTAATTGTACAATTAAAGAGTGTCATAAAAAATATAAATAATAAAGAAAATTTTTTAGAATATTTGAGATTTAAGTAAAAACTTCGATTCTTTATTTTTTTAAATGAATATAAATTTCTTAAATAGAACACATATGATACAATTTATTATTTTGAAAAAAAATAGGATATATATAATTAATAATCGTTTTCTATTGAAAATATGAAATTAATGTATTGCTGATAAAATAGCATTCTTCTAAAAATTGGCCTAAGCGGTGCCCGGCCACCTCCGATTTGCACAAATCGGCCAAAAAAATCGGCCAGGTGGCTAACCGGCGCCTAGGCGGACTTGACGGGCTCGGCGGCCAGGTGGCGCCTAGGCAGGCATATGCGGACCTAGACGCTCCTAGGCGGGTTCGGTGACAAATTTTTAGTTTTTTTATATATATATTTTTTAAATACTAATTATATTATTTTGTTCTCATGTTCTCTTTAAAATATATTAATATTATTGTTTAAACTTAGGTGTTTGGATTTATTATAAGTTGAGAAAATTTTATTTTGTAGATAGTTATAATAAATAAAAAAATAAGGTATTTAATATTGATCTTAGGCCCCGACTAGGCGCCACCTAGACGGGCGCCTAAAGACTTTTAGAACACTGTAAAATAGTAATAATGTAATATCAAAATATAAAGGTTTGATTATTTTTTAAATAGTAACTATTTCCTTAAAAAAAATCTATTTACTATTTTCGGGAAATTAATTTAATAATTTATGGTATATATCAAATAATCACTTATGGAAATTGCGGCTCATTATTTAAGGAAGTATGACCAATTTATGGTATATATCAAATAATCACTTATGTAAATTGCAGCTCATTATTTAAGAAAGTAATTAAGCCATATTTTAAGATAACTTAAATACTCAAATCATGTGAATTACTTAATATATGGTATAAAGTGGACGAATTTATTTTTAGTATTGATGGTTGTTTCTTTGAAAAATAAATTAATCAATATATGGTATAAAGTGAGAAAAATTATTAAGGTTATTTAATGACTGTGTTTTGTTCGGAAATTTGTTGAAAAATTAATCAATACACGGTTTACTTTTTTCTGTAGAGCACACGCCAATATATTGGTTTTTAGGCGTGTGTTTCAATTTTTATTTCAACTTTTCGTATGAATTCAACATAATAAAATTACCGTAACTCTGACAAAATAATATGAATGGATATTTCGATATAATGTGCGTGTATCGATGTTTTTTTTATAGAAAAAGCTCTGGTCATTTTTTTTTTTGTATAATTAGTGGATCTCGATTTAATTCATTTTTTTTTACTACATTTCAAATAATTTTTGTGTGAAATACATTATTCATTTTTTTTAGCATGATAATGTTGATTTTTTTTGACATAAAGAATCGTATGACTGATTGTTTTTACTCAACTATTTAAATTTTTTTATTTAGATATTTTATACAAAATAAATTCATTTTAATTAATGAAAAAATATAAGTTTTATATTTATACTTATTATTCACATAGGTTTTTAAATATATAATAAAATTTTACCAAAATAATTATTTTATGGAATCACGTTATTGTCAAATCGAATTTCTGAATAAAAATTTTGAAATGACACATGGTTTTAAATGAATATAATGTAATTTATTATCAGTTATGTGCAACGCACGGGTTATGTACTAATTTTAAATATATATTTTTATGTAATTTTGCACAATTTAAATTTTATATAACATTTTAAATAAATTAATATAGGTACATTGTATTATATATTGATTCCATGTTTTTAATTTATAAATACTATTTAATGAAAATTTTTAATTTATAAGTATTAGTGAATATCTCTTGCCCGTGCATCACACGAGATTCGTACTTGTTTGCAGTTGAAAAAGAAAAACATATTGGCCTTGTTTGGCAATCAGCTGTTAGCGGATTGTATTAGCTGTTTTGACCAGCTAATAGTGTTAGCTGTTTTGACCAGCTGATTATATTTA